TTAGGTTACCTAATCATTCTTCTCCGAATTCGGCTGGCAACATTTCTCGTAATCAAAATGTACAAGGAGCAAGAGAGTTTTTGTCCTCTCTTTATGCAATCTCGTTGAATTGGTCAACATCTTTAGGCCAAACTAATAATTAGCAAGTAATCTTGTTCCATAGCCTGCAACTACGTCATACAATTAGATGCTTTCTGTATTTCTTTTTTTGACAGTAGTGTCTTTGCTTAGCAAACGAACCATTGCAGCAATAGTCCGTCCCAGTGGCTACTCAGAAATGCAAAGTTTCTTCAAAAACAGTTGTCTTATTATACCAAAATTTACTTCGCTTCCAATGGTTCCGAAAAAATCCTTAAGATCCATAACCATAACGACCGGAAGAAACTGTTGATAAAATATCAGATGAAAAATGGCCGATGAGAAATGGATGAGTTCTAATGTGGTGTTAATTTGTTCGCCAAAGCAATATCCTTGTCAAATAGAAATAAATTTGCATTTTTTTTCGCGTCGAATTATTCACCTCGCAGATAGGGCTACCAGCTTTCAGCGATAATTTTTAAATTACCAATATCCATTCCTGAAGACTTTGCACTACTGAAATAGATTGAAGAGGTTGGCTGAATAGCTTGCGGCAAACCCTAATGATACATACTTGGCGTGTACCCTTCATAGACGCAGTCTACGCTTGCGTGAAATTTTCGCGTCTGCCGCAGATCTTATAGCGAGCAATCATAGAGGTCTAAGCTAGCAAATAATTCGTGGCGGTTCTCGCATCCCCATTCTTATGCTGAACCCGAAAATGGACATGGTTAGGAACAAGGTGATAGCTGTCACTATGTCTTGCCCTTTATGTAAGACAAAAATATGGGTCCTACTCATATTGCGTGTGTCGTACTATCGAAAAAGCTCCAACCTCTTGATTGAACGATTCTTTTGATATATCTAATTATGGGATACTGTAACTGTTTCTTGTGGCTGTCCGTGATTTCGCAATACACAACGCATGATAATGCTAGATGATGATATTCATATCCAACACCCTTACTTAACTTGATTCTCATCACAAGTCCGGCAAATAATCCAGGCGTTTCGGCTGCGCTAGTCATGTTGAAGTATGACAGATAAC